CCATGATATTATATTTTTGCCATTAACAGAGTACCGAACTTGTGGTTTATACAGAAACAGATCATGGCCTACCTGTTGAAATCACTAAAGAAAAATATTAGCAACGGTACTGATCCCATACTGAATATCACTATTGAGCTGATATCAACAGAAAGTGGTGGAGGTGAAAAAGGAATTAATCTGACTCAATCCTATGACACAGGATTAACAACACACCCACTAAGCCTGGCAATTAAGAGACAAGTGTAATCAGGTGTGTTGGAGCAGGTAAATCAAATCTATCCTGAAATATCAAATTGTGTATTTCTCCCTGTGGAGTAGTGGAGTGTTTGAGTAGTTAGAGCATGATAGTCTACTTTCAGTGGAGCGATATGAGCAGAAAACGCTGGATCAGGATTGTAATTGGCCAAAACTCAACGTTACAATGCTGGTATTGGTATCGGAAAAGAAACAGTGGTATTGTGCCATCTCTAATTCCAAACTTCTGAACAGTATGTACACATGTATGGGACACCCAAGACCCAGGGCCAGCATGGAATCTGATCTCCTGATTTAGTTAGGGTTGCTTTGTTTTTGTGCCCGAGGGCCTTCACACATGCAGCAGGAAAGATGAAAAAAGAGGGAAAAAGAGTGATAGAGGGAGAGAGAAACATGACATGAAGGTTATGCAGAAAGACTATACTCTATTCACGGAAAGCACAAGCGCAAGCACGTACACACACAGATACACTCAAGCAGAGTTCGGTGTGCACACGTTACCCAACACACAGTTCACCACATTCTTGTCTGAGTCTCATACCTCAACTATTTCTGTGAATTTCAGGGAACTGGAGTTTCTTTGCATTCAAACAAGAGGCCATCCATCAGATATGCGATAGAGATCAACAGCCGAAACTAGAAGTGGGGCAAGGGGGAGGTGTTCAGGTATTATTCAGAACTGGAATGTATCCATCAATACAAACCCAGAAGGAGGAAACATCAGAATAATGGACAATTTTTAATTTCCTCATAGCTCTGCTGGAACAGTTTCAAGCCATGTTTTCAAACGTATAAAAGAGCCCTGGCAGAAAACATGGCAGGAAACCAGTATTCGGTCTTTATATGAAGTGTCTTTCTTCCCCGTTTAGAGCCTGACTAGGAGCAGCATTAATCCTTGAAAGTCTGGCGATACTGTCACTTTGCTTTACATATAAATGTATATATTGGTCATTCACATGACATGCATTTTTTGTGTCCATTACTTTCCCAAAAAATAACTGAATAAATACAAGACATATATCAAACAATTCAACAATACCTCTTTTATGTGAAACAACTTTCAGTTCAACCATATAAAATTTATTTTTAGTTGCTTTTTGCTTCCAAAAGACTAAAAACTGTCAGGTAGTGCAACTGTCCAACCATAGGTTGATAAAGTAAAATATCAAAAAAGGTAATATAGTTATATAGTAGTTCAGTAAGATTTTATGCTTGAAAGCTTGAAAATAAAAACTGTGGTGCAAAATAAGGCAACTTTAAAAGTACTCAACTCACTGAAAAAAAAACTGTCCGCAAGTTCTTACTCCCTCAAATGTCAGGAAGCACAACCAAAAACAAAGGACTTTTATTTTGACTTTAGGAAAGACAGGCCAGCGTACTGCATCATAAAAAAGACCCCAAGTGACGTTAATGGTGCAATGCCAAGGTCAGTAGCCCTTTCATAAAATTTGTAAAAAAAAGTCATTTTTGGGTCATGGTTAAAATGGTTCAGTTAAGGTTAGAATGGTTCAATGGTCAGTTGGTGTGTGACCTCAGGAAAACCATGAAAATGTGTAATTATTATAATAATGTTTATTTATTTGAAAAAAAAAAAATGTAAGTCTAAACTCAAGTACAAAGACTAAGGTTTCTATGGGCGTTGAAGTAGATGCCAGTTTAATTTGAAACTAGTCTGAAAAGTCAGGTGGCACAACCAGTAAATATCAAACGGTGAAACCAGACCAGTACAGATTTATTAACTGTAACAGGCAGAAAATACATGCTAATATATATATAAATGCTAATATATATGCAGACATAAAAACACATATTGTGTCTTCTTTTTTTGAAAAGCTTCTTTGTCGTTGATCTATACAATAAATAAGTAGCACAAGGTATAGTAGAGTATTGTATTATATCACACTGTATCACGTATCATTGTATTGTGGCTTGCATTTTAGTTAGCACGTTGGCACGCGGCTACATATTAGCTTGCGGCCAGGGCTGGACACTATAAATCACAGCCGTTGTTTCAAAAGTTCTACTGATATAATGTTGAATGTTCTAATTAAATGAAATGGTTGAAAATGAATATTTTTTACTTTGATTCGATGTCAAAATGAACAAAATGGTGAAAAACAAGACTGCACACAGTGCTTTTGAGAGAATTTGTCCACTTGTTTAAATGAGCTACAAACGAGAAACAATTAATGTAAAATTACATCTTGCTTTGGGTATTTAGGTATTGAAATAATACTAAGGAACTTCATCTATTCACACATAAACGGCTGAAATCTGAGCTTAACTAACACTGTTATACCAATATGGGTCAGAATGCTGTTTCTTGGTTAAACATCACCCCCAGAATGCAAGCATGATGTGATTTGCTGATTCCCGTCCAACACGTGCTGCCAAACAACTTACTTGGAATGCAGCTGGAATCGGCCTAGAACCCAAACTCCACTAGCCAATCAGAGTTAACTCTTGTCTGACTCCCAACCAATACGACACCTGGACTTGCCAAAGAGGACATCCCCGGGTAGCCCCTTCTGAGTTCACAGAAACAGATGTGGTTTCCTTTTTTCCTCGAACTGTGCCTGAAAATCCTGAGTGTAAACAAGCCATGGAGGCCCAAATTCCTCAGAAAAAACACTGAATACCAAGTCCAACTCATTATTACAATAGCAGAACCACATCTTTAAATGGGTCAGTATGTGAACATGCTGTTGAAACAGAGTGCCAGAGAACAGCTTGTACTATATTTACCAAGATTTTAGCATGGAAATATTGATCTAAGATCAGTCCATAGTAGGAATTCTAGATAGCATTTTTCTCTATGGGAGAAATGAATGACGTTTTCAAAAATTGCATTTGCTACATTTTAACACTGCTGTGTTAAATCGATATAATAAGACGGACAACCTCATCTAAATACCCAAGCAAACCAGCAAGCTCTGTCAAATGTGGTAGTTAAGCTACTTAAGTAGTAGCAGCATACTGGTTAGTGTTGTTATAACAGTGTTGATACACTGCACTGAACTTACTTTCACGCAATGTCAGCTCAGCGCTCAGGGGTGCTAGTTTGCTCATAGCTTGAACGTATCAAAATCCATATTTCTACTCCTTGTACCTTACTCAAGCTGGATTAGTTTTACCTCAAGAAGTGCTGTAATTTCAGTGAACACCAAGGAGATTTTAAGAGATTTTAATCCAGTATGAATCTGCAGTGTCTGTAGTTTTACAAGTGTGCAAAATAATACTTCCAGAGCAAATTACATTCTGTAATTCTTTAAACTCAGAGCTCCGTCAGTAATAGTAGTACTGCTCCAATCCAACTCATGGTAATGTAATAACAAATCCTGGTAATAGACAACAATATGTCTGCTTTTTGGAAATAGTAAAACAAGGCTAACCGCGAATCTAGAGCTCGACTTGCCACAGTTCCTTTATCCTTAATTTCAAAACAAGAGTACTGTTACCTACTACATTTTTGGTACCTACAGACTCAAAATACAGATACAAAGACAAAAAATGCATGCCATTTTGTTAAGTACAGGAAAATGTGTGGAAAGTGTTTTCTTTAATAACAGCCAATTACAAGTTAAGCTGATAAATACTGGAGTATTCCTTAAACATGTTTAACTCCTACTCTTGCTCCTTTAATAAAAACCCTGAAGGGAAGCGTAATATGGGACGCCTCTGGGCAAAAAAAGCTCTTTGTAGCAAGACAAATGTCTGTGCTAACACACAAACATGGCGGGCCAGGTCTTTCAGGGTTCACTCAAATAGTAAAGTGTAGTCACTATGTTTCACCAGTGCCTCTCATGTCATCAGTTTTATAGATTTCCATTTCTGCAGAGTTCCAGGTAAAACCCCGGCAGAGAACATGCTGGACTGCTTGACGACGTAAACTAACACTGCTAAGGCTAGGGGCAAATGCTTCAGCTGCCACTGTTCCGCCTTGCAGTCACATGTATAAAGTATTTAAGCTCTTCAGGTAAAGCGGAAGTGGGGCAAAAAAGTCAGTCTTACACAAGTTTCCCTTTACTTCAAATGAAGTCCGTCAGCCAAGATGTTTGCATCTTTAGTTTTTGAGCAATAAGGCTAATTTAGCTAATGAACAATGGAAGTTTATACACTACTGTTCTGATGCCTCTGACTTTTAAATTATTATTTCAGGCAACTCACAGTAGCACACACACACCATATTTTAGTGTGTTTTTTTTCCAGACCTAATGCTACCTCTTTCAATTAAAAAAAGGTCTTACATAAATGTGACTGTGCTTTTTTTCTGTTCCAACTAATCAAACCTCATAAAAACAACATATCTTGATGCATTTTGCGCATTATGAAGAAGGTCTTCAAGTGCTGTGATACTGTATTGTTGTCATATTGCCCCTAGTCAAGACTTTTTCACACAATCAACCAAGCATCATCAGCTTTGACAGAGCATACTACACACAATCTACAAATGGCCTTTCTTGTCTTCATTAATTCATTACTAACACTACATTTCTAACATGTTTTTCTGTTGCCCTGGATCAAATGAACTTTCTTCTTGAAATCATGTCCAAAAAATGCTAAAGTCCAAAAAATGGTCCTCAGGAACACAAAAACAGATTCATATCACTAAACAAAGCTCTTACTAATCATGAATAGTCCCAAGTTTACAAGAACTTTGTCCCATTCTATCGAATGAACAGAGTACACCTTTACGCTCAGCATGGAACTCCAAACATACTGGGAGTGCTTCAGGAGCTTACCTGAGACGAGGATGTCGTTGCGCAGGGCACACACTGCATACTCTGACTTGGTGAATTCTGGATGCTTGGCCAAAGACTTCCAGTCACCCGTAACGGGGTCATAACACTCTGTGTAGGGCAGGTTGAAACCCCCTAACCTCTCGCACCCTCCCACCACCACAATCACCTCTGAAAAACCAGTCGACCTGCGGCAGAGAGAAAGAACAGGGCAAAACAGATTACTATCAGAATATACTATGACTGTATATTAGACTGTGGGCCAATTGTACCTTTGAGACTGGTGGAAAACGAAGCACAAAAGGCATTTATGAACTAGGGATGCACTGATCTAGAATCCCTGGAGCAACAGCAACAAACAAAAACAACAGATATTAAACATATTTTGCACAGAAGTTTACACTATAATTCATATATGAAGTGCACTGAGAACATCAGATATTTAAAGACAGATCACTGATTAAACTGATCAAATTAAGGTTATAATAAAGCTAAATGAGACAGGACAGTTAGGGTAAACATTTCTATATTTAACAGACACTCCAACCAAACTCATTTATAATGGTAGGGGATATATATGCGATATAGCAGTGGGGTACCTGTCTGCTTTGGGAATCAAAACACAGACTGTCTGTGGCTATTAAAGAAGTACCTGATTAAAAAAGTACTTTCTCCATAAATTAGCTTAGTTCACTATTTGAAGATAAACAGGGTATCTGCAGGTCATTATACAGCTATGTTCAACAGATTCTCCATAGGGAGGTGCTATTAGCCTTCAAATCACTTTTATGAGCTCTCTGAAAAAGAAGAAACTCACACCAGCAGGATCTCACAAACGCATGTATGTTTGTAGTTACAAATGTATATGAAGTAAAATTACAGTTTATTGATACAAACTGCATATACATGAATAATTCACTGCAAAACTACAAAGTGACATATACAAAGAAAATCTAGATAAATATAATCAATAGTGACAGCCCTAGATACCATTGAGAGTATGTTGCAACTGAGGGCAATTTTTAACAGCTCTGAAAAATATGAAGATGAGAATATTAAGAACAAGTTACACTGCAAACTTTCTCCGACAAACATCAAACACTCTAATATTAGCTTATTATGTTGGCTTCAGACAGCACTGTAAAAGAATGGAAAGGCTAAATTAAGTAGTGTGAATAGGGTAAAGAATCACAGGAACAACACTCACACACAGCTTTGACACCAACCCAGTGTTACGACTCGTTGTTCGCTTTAGGGAACTAGCTGTTTGTTAATTCTCTAATACCAACAATGGATCTAACAGAAAGACAAATAGGTGACAAACACTTCCTTAAACTGCTCTTTACATAATGACCACTGCATGGCCTTTTTTGGACAAAACCGAACACCACAAACAAACCATGAGGAGATCACATGTACCATCTGAGTTTAATTAAGCAGATGAGAACGAAAGAGGGTGGGAATGAGTGTGTGTATGTGTGTGTAGTTCGGACACATCAGCTAATGACAGGCAACAGGGACATAAACACTCAAAGAGATGTAGACCAAAGTGCTGCAGACGATTCAGCACAGCTGGCCTGCCAAGAGACTGAGGAGATGGTTACGTCACGAAATAAACAAAAGAGAAGGGAGACACACACACACTGACACACACACACATACCCAGGAGAGAATACAGAGGTAAAAAGCCCTCTGGCCACACACACACACACACACACACAAGTGAATGGAGCTAATCTGCCTGGAAACTGCCTGAACCTGAGTGCCCGTGCTAGCACAGCGTGAATGCTAATTTCAAATCACTGCCAAATACAACAACAAAGAACAGGTTCAGTACATCTGACTGACAGATGCTGTGTGTGTGTGTGTGTGTGTGTGTGTGTAAAAGGTAATGTTTTTATGAACAATACTGTGCAAAGGTTTCAGAGACCTCAGAAAATTAAAGCTATTTATCTGGTCAGTAAGCAACTACTTGCTCAACTTACATTACAATAAACACTGATAACATTAATGCAACAAGAAGTGATTTTACATTTGTTAATGTGTTTGTTGGCAAAACTATATTTGAAAAACAAGTTGTTGCAGTTGTCAGCTTTCACAATCCTATGTTTTTGTCACAACAAAAAGTGCTCTCTCATCAGCTGGTCAAAGCAAACAAATGTAAATAAAAGAAAACAGAAAATGCGTTTATTGAGACACGTTATGTGTCTCAGGTCTTTGCAGTTCTAACTCCTAACTTGTGCTACAACACCATCGTTTGTTTCTTTGACATTTGTTAATATCACCATTGGAGGGCAGCAGTGAGTAACGTTTGTTTATTTGAGCTCAAACTCTTTCTGTCATCAGTTTTTGAGCTACTTGAAAACATGAGTGCCTGAACATGAGCTTGTGGCCAAGTACATGTGAAGTGAGTAATAGTGTGGCTTTAACACTAACAAGGCTAACTAATCTTGCAGATATTATCCAATAATAAGAAAATACCTTGTGTAGAGGACAGCAAGTCTTTATCACCACCCACGTGACCGTGGTTAGCTATGTTAACACATTCGATTATCTATAGAGGCAGCCTCTGTCACTCACCAACATAGAAACCTATTGATTTCCCTCAGCTGATTTTTAAATAATAGAACACGCTTTCGAGTGTATTCTTCTGCGTGCTGCTTTTTTTTGGCAACACCGGGGCTGACACCTAAAAAGGTAAGCCTACATTATTTTTGGCCAATGTCCATTTTTTTCTTCTTTTCTAATTTTAGTGTTGTTTTTACTTCCCTGCAGTTCACCAGAAATCTGTTCATTAACTGTTACGGATACTCTAATATCAAAATGTGGAATGCACATCCTTATAGCATACCATTAATAATTGCTACATTTTCCCAGCTAACAGTGAATAACATAGCAGTCACTATATCACTAAATTAATCTTTAAGAAAGCCCAGTATTTTGTGTAGTTATCATCCAATAGCTGATTTGGCTAAGAAGTACTAAGCGTGCTGGTGATGAAATTCAACAAATCCATGCAACAGCTGGGGCATCAAGGAGAAATCTAAAACCTAACTTTGCTCTTCAAACTAGCTTTTTTTAAAAAAAAGTCTTGTTACTTTATACTATATTTATGTAAACTTGTATTTATGCTTATGATGTATATTTATATTATATAATCGCCTGATCCCAACTGTTTGAACTTATTGCAATAATTTAAGCTGAATGCTATCACTTTCAGTTGTGAGCTACTAAGTACTTATAGCTAAAAAGTAAGATAGCTTTTTAGGCAATTTAGCCACTTTAATGTTAATTAAATATTAGGCACAATTATTTAAATGGCAATTAATTGTCAGATAAAATTTTATGATTGTGATAAGGCAAGTGTCCTGATAAAGAAACACACAATTACAAACATGCTTTATATCACTGTTGATAGTAACAGTATTATCTTCACTGCCTCATCAGACTATGAAGAGTCTTTGACAGAGTCACACCTGAGTGGCTCTATTTGCGGAAAACACTCATACAGTGGAAACAAGCCTTTCTGATAACATCAGTCACTCATGCTTATCTACTCTGCCATTTTTCTTTCGTAAAAACAAGGAAGAGCAGCTGTACACAGTTTTGAAACTTAAATTTAATCAGTATTTTTAAATGTGCAGTGTTCACATTTCAAAAAAGACTGTTTTTCTGTCTGGCTGTATGTCGTATTAGTCTATGCAATACATAATAAACAATCACACATAAACGTAATCATAATTAAATACTTCTTCATTATCTTTAGTGTTACCATAACGCTAGAGGTCAGATGATGATACAGTACCTGCGTGGTCTGGTTCGTGGTGACATCATCTCGTTACCGAGCACGTGGTAGCGCCGAGCCTCGTGCAGCAGCTGGTAACATTCCGGAGCATTCTGGATCAGCTGATCACCCTCCACCTGCAAAAACATTATAGATTTACACATTGTAACAGGAACATCAGATACTGTAATAAGGAGATTATACATTGTCACATGACATTACACATTGTAGATAAGACATTGTAACGAGGATGCTGTACACTGTAACAGGTACACTACATGCCCTAACAAAAACGTTACACACTGTAGTGCAGACTTTACATTGTAACAGTGCCATTAGATGCTCTAAAAGAGACAGGACACATTGGGACTCGGACATTAAGTTACAGGGACATACATCTTCAAAATATAGACAGTACTGAGAACACTGGATTATTAATATTTACTAAAATTTGAATTTGTGTCATTTTTCTTTAGAAAGTGTTTTTAAACAATTACTTTTTGCTCCTGTTTATATATACATGTAACACTGCACACATTTCAGTGCTGACTTCATACATTGTCATAGGGACTATAAGCTGTAACATGGACTTCATACACTATGAATGGGTTATTATACATTGTAACAAGGATATTAAGGACATAGTGTGGTGTCACAGAGACATTGTACAACGTAAAAGAGACAAACCGTGACTTACAGGCACTGTTACACAGTCAAATATTCTACTGACCCAGGTACATCACATACACAAAGGGACATCTGGTCCATAATTTTGCTCTCTCCCACACCCCAACCAAACAGTCAAAAACTAAATACCTAGTTCAGGTGTGCTTTGACCTGGGAGAGAACAAATACGTGGACCATCTTAGGGTTCCTGACAATATGGTTAGGAGACCCTGATATAGGGTATATTTCGTTATTCAGTGATGTATTTAGATCACCCACCGTCTGTACAAAGTAGTTGGGGTGCAGAAGCGGTAGCCTCACATGCTGAAGAAGATCTTTCAGCAGAGGCCTGCGGCAGTCCACAGCATGGTAGACCCACCTCATCACAGCTTCAAACACCACCTCCTCCCTGCCTACACACAGCTCATCACTGGCTATATACTCCTCCAGTTCCTCCCTCCGCAAGTCCAGGAATTCCTCATGCTGGGCAACTTCTGGAAAGTTCTGCAGGGCATAACCTCGGCAGCGGCTGGCCAGCTGTTTGAGGGAGTGGGCATCGGCGAAGCGTTGCATCCCGAGGCAGTTGCAGGGGTCCAGCTGGTCCTCCAAGAATTTGGCGCAGGCGTCTCTCAGGGTGGCGATCTGGAAGAGGCTGGAGGTTTCAAAGAGGTACTGGACATTCTGCGTGGTGATCTTGGCCCGTCCAGTGTAGACATACTGCAGAAAGACATCCATGGCTTCAGCCTGGATGCCATTGATTTCCACCAGCATCTGACGGCTCTCACGGTGGTCGTTGCAGAACATGGCACGGAAGTAGCCACTGCAGGCGGACAGGACGGCGCGGTGGCAGGGGAACTCGCGGCCCTGCACGCTGATCACTACGTCTGTGAACAGCCGGGTCTCACGGAACTCGTTGAACACCTGCAGCACGCTCTCGGAGTGTGATGGCCCTGAGGAGAAGTCGAATACATCACCCAGGTTCTTGGGCTCCATCTCAAATACCTTGCGCTTGATGGCAGGGGAGTCGCGGATGCCTGCTGACTCCTCGCGGATCAGACGCCGGCCCAGGATCAACACCATGACTGCGTCTGGAGAGGGCCACTCACAGCACTGATCAATTTACAGCCAAAATCTATGGATAAACACATCAACACTCAGTATGACGGTGGTAATACATAGAGGTGTAAAACCTTCAGATCAATGTATCTCACCATGTTCTGAAGGTGGTTATCTGCATCAATTTTAGAAAATAACAGTTGATCAGAATAAATTAGAATTATTCAAATAATTCTGTTCTATAAAACTAAAATTTTTTGGCTAAAATAAAATTTTAACAGGCTATTAACAAGCCCCCAACTTCCCCTGCTTTATGAGAAAAAAGCCTGGTGTATTGTTTTCACTCCATTACAGTGTAAATTTCTCAGTCACGTTTATATTTTCAGGGTTTCATTTAAACAGTTCATACCAAAACAATCAAATCAAATTACGGTGAAACGTTTAATGATGCACTGAATGTAATGTACTCTTAATGTGCTATTGATAAACATTTTAGATCAATTTATACCAACACTGGACCAGATTTTTCTACATACTGCAGTCTATGACACTGAGAACTGACAACAAAATAGGATTTTATATTTAAATTATATTTCCTAAATTACTACGCCTACGTTTCTATCTGTATAGTTTGTTTAACTCAGCATTTCTCAATGCTGGTGTATCTATGTATTATATGGTTCACTTCTGTTCTGATCTAACTCACCTACTTCCATTTATGAAGCCTTCACAGTTACATAATGCACTGAAGAGGGCATGTTAGAGCAGGGAAATACTGTCTCAGATACTAAACTGCTGAGACTGGGGAATAATTTCTCAAACACTAAACTCAATCCATATTAACAGCATGTAAAAACTGAACGTAGCCCATCTTATGGCATCCTTATTTAAAAAAAAATGATGTTATGTATTGTGTTGCTGTGAATTGAAATCAAGTATAATTGCTCTGCATAGTTTTCTTCTCTGTTTGAGTTCAACTGACATAATATAATACACACAGACTAACATTTTATAACACAATATCAACATAGTATTATTCTGAGCTCAGTATTGTATACTTGTGTCTTTAAGCATCTTATCACTAACCCAACACTCATATGACTCAGAGTTATCTGCACAAATAAGAACACAATGTAACCTGCAGTTTATTGCATAACTAAGTGGAATAGACCTATATGTTAATTGCGCAAGCTTTTTTTATTGTGCCACTCAGATTGTTTTGGTTTTTTTTAGACATGATCTGTCCCAGGAATGTGCAGTGTTGCGTAATATTTACTACCTGACACAGACTCAGACACATTTCACCAGGGGGTATTCCACAAAGCAGGATTTCTCAGTTTAGCTAGAACACTTAAGCCCAAAGTCAAGCCTGTTCAATAGAAAAAGAGCTGCCCCTTGGCTACCCATTGCGCAGTCCTCATCTTTGGGCTTAAGTCATCTAGCTAACTGAGAAATCCTACTTTAGGGAATACCCCCCAGATCAGAGTCAAGCCATCTGCATTGCAATTAGCTTCAATAAGAAAACACAGCAAACGTTACAGACCTAGAGTATGTGCCATTTGCCACTCTCATTTAAATAAGATACATGTAGAAGAATGAAGAATGAGGATGGTGATGGTATGAAACAGTATTAATAACACATTGTACATGTACAGTAAAATTTTGTACTTAAGCTCAAAATTGTTGTGACAGACTATATTCCAAAGTCACATCTCAAGGTCAGCAAATGCAGGCTGAAAATTCCCAGAGTAAAGCATAAGAAGTGGCAAAGCAGCTTTATGTAAAACCTTACCACTCAACATTCAAGTTTTAAGACTTCTCATGAATCAGATTCCCTGAAACTCTATACACCAACTGCAGTTCAGCTGGTGACCAAGAAAAGCAGAGCAGCATAAGTGGTTCACTAATGAAACTACAACATAGAGGAAAAGGCGGGTAGGAACCAAAACATGGAAGCAGAAGTGCTGCTTTTCACCAAGCCGTAACCTTAATGGTCCATAAAGAGTGTGGGCCTGCAGGGCATAACGTCCTGCCTAATAAAGATGTTTTAACAGCATTACTTTTAACTTAACTGCAGTAAATTGCCGAACTGCTTAGTAGACAATCTCTGCGAAACTAAATAAAAGTCCATTATTACCATAAAACATCGTTGTAACATCAATTTATGCCTCTTCCAACAGATTTAAGCTATAGCCACCTGTTGAGACACAACTTGATACTCTTCAAATTCACCAAATAGAAAAACTCAAAATAAACTAAAAAAGATGCTTCACATTTTAGAGACTGAATATAAAACGTTTAAACATGTGAATATTTAAACGGTAGGTGAAATAGTTCGAGTTAGGCCTCGAATAAGACTTTGGACTTACCTCACACAAAGAAGACAAAAGTCCACATTAACACTTAAAAAAACAAAAGATGTCTGAAGAAAATATGATACGTCCATATGTCAGAAGAGAAAAGAGACACAATTAAGTAATTAAGTAAACTATTCTAACTTTTAAAAACAACACTTTCGTTAAACCGCTGTACAACGTGTAACGCCGGTGCTGACACAAAGAATTCTGTTATTGTCAATATCGCACCGAGTGTTTAACGCCACATCCTAAAAAAATCTCAACTGTCAGCTGTTGGGAAAGGCGCCACTGGGTAATGTAGTTGACCAGAGTTCCAGACAGGAGAGCTGAACGTGACGTGAGAACTCCATTTCCCACAATTCTTAACAGAGTGTCTTTCCATGTGACAGACATTTGTTTGCAAACAAAACAGGGATAGCCGGATTTTTTTTCTTGTGCGACGTACACATACGTAGGTCTGTGTTTAGTAACTGTCTGGAAGTACATGTACACTTTATATACGTTCAACTTCTCGATAGTTCTAATATTTTAAGTTTATAGAACAGTATTTTTTGAAATAGTTCGGTTTCTGGTCAAAGTTTATAACTTTGAAATGTCCGGTGTCCTTATTTGCTACGAGGCTGAAGTTGTCTTCCTATTCGCCAACCTGAGGCGCCAGAATGTAACTGCTTCACCGTTTAAGGTGGAACGGGAAAATCCAGACAAGAAGCTGGAAAGCGTCGCTAGTTTACTGTAGTTTGTAGCGAAGTTAACTTCTGCAAACAGGGTAAAGAGCTTGTATACTGTGGCTTATAAAGATGTCTTCTTTTATTTACACATTTGTGAAAAAAAAGGTTATAATTGGTCCTAAACCCGGTGGAGTAGTTGCACCTGGAGTGAAGTTGTAAAAGCAAAAATTGATTAAAAAGAAATTAACAAGTTGGCTAAACACACAAGGCTCTTAAAGACACTACCGTTCAAGTGTTTGGAATCACTGTTCTTATTAAAATAAAACCTCTCTTGTTGCAGGCAAATGAAATACTTTGACTGTGATGCTGCTACTTTACTACACGAATCTCAATTAGTAGGAAGCTCTAAAAATGAAGAAAGTTTCGATGTGTTCAGAAATATTACCAGAGCTGGAGACCAAGTATTGTTGGTGATCAAATCTAGAAATTACTGTAAATAAAAAATACAGCATATTATTTATTATTTAATAACTTAGTACTGTTCCCTAATAAACTGGAAATATGGAACCAAACATCAAAAACGCCTTCTGGTGTCTAGCTTTTAGTATTTCAATCTACAATATAAGTTAGTATTAAAAAGACAAGTGGTTCTGAACTTTTAAACATAACTGTTTATGCTCAAGTATCAAATACGTTCAAAACAGTTTGTAAAAAAGGAAAAACACAAACAAAAATGTATGAAACGTTGGTTACTTAATAAATACTTTGGATGTCAGCCCCTATCAATCCCACACGTTCTGCATCCCAAGACAGTACTGCCTTCTAGTGGTTGTTTGAAGGAATTCTAAGGAATGCTATGTTATTACTCAGTGTGAATATGCTAATTTCTGAACACTAGCGCGGGCATTTCATTTTTACCTGTTTACACGTAGATTACATTAACTTATACATTAATCAGCTAGATTATTAACATATTATTAGCATGGCAATATCCATATCTGGCAGGATAGGTTATCTAATTTACACTTGATTTAAAACTACTGCTTACTGAGACAAACATCAAAAAAGTATAGCTTTTGAATTTACAGTTTAGAGAGATTATAACATCATCAGATACTTTGCTTTTTTAAGGAATTAGCCTATTGTGCTGCTAATTAGGGAAGATTGGGGATGGATGTAACAAAGTTGTAAAATGCTTATAGACCTACCACTGGAAGTACGTTTTGGATGATTGCTTTGCTGGGAAATCAGCCCAAAACCCAAATATCTGCTTCTGGTGAAGGAGACAGACTGTGACCCAAATCTGGTTTGATAAAGCCTATAACACCATGTATCGTAAGAAGAGCCCCAAGGTCTTTGGAATTATCACACCTCCACCACCATACTTCACAGAGGGTATTAGGTGTTTTCTTCACTGAATGCTTTTGCACCAAACCTATCTCTGGTTCTTCTTACAAAATAGCAACACTTTCAGTGTTGTTTAGTGAACTGAAGGTGTTTATGCTTTATGTTTGACAGCTGTCAATAACAACAACAAAAAGAACTTCAAACTCAATCGTTTGTTGGCGTGGAGGTTGCTTTTAGTTCAACTCATGCAGTAGTCCCAATGTCATCTTTGGAGGAAGCAGAAGAACCATTGAGCTCACTGTGTGTGGGGCAAAATACACTTGTATCCACTTCCAGAAAGATTCATCACAGCTCCACTTGTAATTATGCCCCAGTAGTGAATATGGGGGATATTTTTTCCAGCTGTGAAGCTATGTCTAGTTACAGATGAGAATTTCTATTTTCTATGCTTGATCATGACACTTTTTAAGGGAGAAAAATTATCTACGTTTTTTCATCAACGCTGCATTTCACTCATATGCTCAATATGAAAGTGAAAATGAAAATATTGTTTATATCTGTCTACTTATATTCTAATAATTTTACACTCATGTTACTATGGCTCTGCCTTTTCTTCTTAGAGATGTTGTATATACATTTTAGTTAAATTCCTCAAATACCAATTAGCTTTTGGCATACACAGTTTACTGTGATTTAAAAAAATTCCCACGTGTTTTTCATTTAATAAGAACAGATGATGAGACAGTTTTCCTTCTTCTCCACTATATGATAGTAGATTCTATTGGATTTTTCTCCATTAAAAAAATCATTCTTTTTTTCTTTGTTATTGGACATGTAGAAGACAAACATCTAGATCTCCACACTGGACTTAACATGCCCAGAATGTGGAAGAAAGCCAGTTGATTGGCATAGGTTAGTCCCTTCAGTGTGCAGTTCATCTGGCTGAGTTACCTGAGAGGCCAATGTAAAACTTATGGTCCATGTAAAATTGGTGGTAGCTTACCCAGCTGCTGACACAGAGATGTTTGTAAAACAATAAAAAAATCTCTTAAAATTTGTAGGAGCTGGTATCAAAACATACAGGGAACATGGAAAACAAGTACACAGACACTTTTGTTTTTGTTATTTAATATACTTCCAGAGCATGTATCCACTTTAAATTTACACACATAATGTCTCTTGACTTTGTGCTTATAAATACAAACAAAAATGCATGTATTCATAAGAATAAACAACGACATATATGTAAAGGTTAAACATGAAAATAAGGTTTACATTTTATTTTGCAAAAATAAAAACATTCTTGTGCAAACTGCACCTGATGTTATTATAAAAGACATGGCAATTGGTGGGGAAGATTCCATGCAACAAGTAGCAAACATGATGAAGGTGAAGGAGCTTTCTAGAGTTCAGGGACAAAATGGGTTAAACAACACTCGAATGGAAAGGGTTACAGAGCCAAAGACCTTAAACATCCCTATCAGCACAGGAAATTACATGGAAAGAAGTTTATGAACAGGTGCCATGTAAGATTTCTTTCAAACTAATAATAGGGAAGGTAAAAGAGAAGCGAGTAGTCACTTGAAAAAAGTTGCAGGACGACTTGAAAGCAGCGAGAACAACAGTTACACAGAGAACAATAAGGAGTGAATTGCACATCTTCATTCCTACAGCCTACGCAAAACTCTTCTGCTAAAAAAAAGCCCAGAGATGGATGTCTACAATTTAGAATTTAGAATCAGAACTCTTTTGGAACAGTGTACTCTAGGCAGATGAAACAAAAATAGGATGTTTAGGCAATAATTCAGCACTTGATGTTTGGAACAAGAAGGGTTGCTCATATGATTTCAAGAACACCTGACCCACAGTGAAGTATGGAGGTGGGAGCATCATGATATCAGGCTGCTTCTCTACAAATGGTACTCGAGCAAAGGGGATTGATGCACTTGGACATATCAGAGGAGAATTTGATCTCATTAGCCAAGATACTGAATCGGGGGAAGAGATAATGCAATACCTTTCCTTGTCTCCTACACTAACCATGTTTTTGGTAATCTCCTGATAGCCAGGATACAGATGTACGTGCCTAAGTCTATGAATTTTAAGGGACCTTACAGAGGTCATATACACAGGGTGATTCAAAAAGATTCAACCAATGTCAAAGCGGCATATTTTTACAACCGTGAGGCACCTGGGAACCAATCACATACCAATTGAAAGAAGGGGTCATAAAGTTTCTGACTGTCAGTGGAAGATGGCGACCCTGAGCAGAAAGCATTTTGTGTTCTCCACTTCAATAAGAGTGAATCCGTCATAACTGTGCAACCTCCAACAGCTCAGAGCATTTGTCGTTGGTTTCACAGCACTGGATGATCTCCGAAATTGCATTGAAAGAGCCGTGAGTACAGTGACACAAGACATGCTCAATAGAGTATAGGATAAATTTGAACGCGTTGATGTTGTATATACAGCTGGAGGAGGTCATATTGAGCACTTGTAAAATTATATAATAAACTTTACGCTTACTTAAACCATTCACAATTTACTGCATTGTTCTGTAATGATTTACAAGTGAAATCAGATGAATGTTTTTAAATCACCCTGTATATTTTCTCTGAGTTGTCTAAATTGCAATCTTCCCACAATCTCACAAGGAATACTTTATCAGTTATCAATACCAAAATCATACCAACTTATAAAACTGGAAGAAACTATTTGTAGGATCACTTGATGTGGTTTTCAATATGATCAGAATTCTACATATTTCAAATATTTAAAAAGCTAAATAATATTGAATGCAACCCTCAATAACAAACAGGCTCATGACTGTTGGAGCTTTGGTGCAATGTCTTTGAGCACAGAAATAATGCTGCCTATGATGCTGCCATTATGACCTGTATGATAAGAACCAATGTAGATCTCTGTTGTAAAAGGAAAACTCCAACAGTGTTTTACTCTTGCATCCGGTAAGTATGTTAAATTCCATGGAGAGTAATTTGGATGCATTTCCTTGTGCTTAGAAAAGAAACACCTTTACTCAAAAAAGCACTTATAGTAGAGGTCACTGGGCAGTTGCTAGATTCCATGAGTAAATATTTACACAAAACATGTTTTTGTGGAATACGTTCATGAACCAAATCACAAATTCTTCCATCAAAAGGTATTTGTAAATTAGGTTATCTATACACCTGTATAATTTGTACTTTCTGTGATAATTTGAGTTTTCTAAAGGTAAGAATTTGTGGTAATATTTTAAGTGGTGGAGGTGGAGACTCCTAAGTCCTTTAGGGATGCAAACGTAACCAGAAGAATTTTTATATTGTGTTCAAACATTGGATAAAACTAAATAAGACCAGCTTTTCTAAGACATTTTTAGGATTATGCCATCCTAACACCTGTTTGTTTTAGAGAGTAAAGGTCATAGTTTTCAATTTGCATTATATATAGTCATGTGAAAATATCTGGACACCTCACTCAAATTCATGTGTAATTATTACACATTTATGAAAGTTAACAAATCCTCTACAGTAAAAAAACTTAAATATGGTATTTTTCTGTAAATTTCAGAGCACAGTTTATATTTATATATTAAATTGACCATATTGAAAAAATAAGACATAACATTAAATGTGCTATAACCTTTGCATCCGCCCAATATGTTACTTTCAGCAAACACTAACTGTTCTTTAAAATGTGCAGAAGTGTGTTCTCTGTAGAAGATGTGCACTTCTTTCAGTTAGAAAATCCACAAAAACATTTCATCTTTTTTGTTGAGCCAAACTGTTGAATACAACCGTAGTAATGGATTTTAGCTGTCTATTTGTGGAATGCCACTGCCCAAGAAACACATGGAAAATGTGATTTGTAATCGAAGAAAAGATACACATGCAGCTGATATAGATGACGTTGAAAAATGCTGTTGTATTGTTTGGCACTAAATCAGAGCCCTAAACCAATCCTTGTGGGCCTCCAGCCACTCCAGTCTTGCTTTGCCCTTGCTCCTATTACACCTGAAGGAATCAGTGACCCTTGGTTACCTGTCTCTGATTTGTTAGGAGTTAGAACAAAACAAAACTGGTCTAGGTGCTTTAGTTTCCCAAACTAACCTAATACTCTAAAGGATGATCTGGTCATTAGGGCCAAGTGTGTTGGATCACAGCAAGAACTGAAGTCTTCAGTAGGTCATTTTCCAAGAACATGGATAGGCACCCCTGATCTGCACAGCCTTTAGCTAATAAACAATTTATCACTGCAGTTACGTTATAGGTGTGATGGCCCTTGGCTTATTCAATCCAAAGAAATCCAGCAGAGATCCTCTGAGGTCTCTGTACCTGAGCCCATACAAGTAAGGCGCCAGGCCTTTGGGTAAAACCACCAGGACGTTGCACACCACTAGAGAGACCCAAAGATCAGCACCAGGGTTTAGCCGAGTGCTGTTGCTGTACAGCAGCAGCTCAATGAACAGCAGCAGCATGGGACACACCGACAGGAACAAGTGGAGGTAGTGAATGAGGAAGGTTCCTCTAGCGCGTGATGTCCGCTGTCCTCGCCACACCCCAGACTTTCTGCTCTGACAGTACAGTGCCACATAACCAGAAACCACCAGCAGTAACATGACCAGGATGGTCGTAACTGTTAGTAACATGCAGACTTGCAGGGGTCTTGAGTGGCTAACGGTTAGCGCTAGCACCAGAGGCAGAGAGCAGATGAGTTGGGTGCAAGGACCAGTAGCATGGTACCACAGGAAGACACCCACAGATGCAGAAGGAAAAACAACTGACACAGCCCAGGTAGCAGCGATAGCTCCGTAGGTTCTGGAGATGGGCCACAGTGTAGCATAGCGTAATGGTACTAATATAGCCAAACAAGTGTCCAGCACTATGGCGGTGGCACTGAAGACGCCAACGCTGTATAGCATTCCCATCAGGAAGAGTACGGTAGCACAAGTCCTGTCTGACATCAGCACAGAGGCCTCATTCATAGATGTACTTAGCAGGAAGGCAGCCACAAAGAGAAGGTCACTAAGCAATGCGTTGGCAAGGAGAAGGTAGCGCGTTTGCTGCCGCAGGTGAGCTCGGGTTAGGATACGGAACAGGATAATAGGTGTGGTCAGAAACACGGCTACAAATCCCAGGATGGGGCAGGCCTGCAGTGCCCTCATATGGCGAGGAGGTAAAAATACATGCCACTCTTGAACAAACAGCTCCATTGCAGCGTAAGAGGAGTTAACCTGTCGTCCATGATGCTCCGCCTGTCCAGAGTTGGTGTACCAGTCACCAAACATACACAGGAGTGAGAGCAAAAGATCTTCCCCAGCCATGAAGAAGGCCTGTGATCTCTCCTCAAAAAGAGCCTCCATCGCTGCTTGAATCTGCACAACCTAGTTCTCAGCCCTGACCCAAACGTGCAGGTAGATAGCCTACTCTACTCTCCACAAAATGAGAGTAGAGATGTGAACAAGGCGCCAGATGAAAGCTAGAGATATTGATTTGTCTCTGTCATGTCCGTTCATGGTTTCCGTGGAGATGGAGATGAAGGTAAACATCACTTTGCAGGTAAATGGAGTTGAGGGAACTCTCTCACTCTGCACACAGGTATAAAAACAGACAGCTTAGCTGTAACTACTTCTGTTATACAACTTAATCTACTTCGGTAGATACACTAGAGTTCGCTGACATCTTTATTAAAAAAACATTGTGATTACAAGAAGTAGGAGATATGTATATTATTTATATATATATATATATATATATATATATATATATATATATATATATATAGACATTAGTTTTGCCAGGTTCAGTGAGGGAGAATATTGTCCCTGTAAAATATTGTCACGGTACACGAATCCATTAGGAAAACAGACACACTCTTTTAAATGAACCGCTGCCTGTATTCCTGTGGTTACAGATAGAACTTTTTAAGTAGAAATTGTTTTTGTTGGCTTAATGCCAGCATCCTGCTGCTGACATACTGATGAGCATCTTATAAATGCACACTCACACTCTAAGAACGAACCCTCTGACTCCATAAGTATGAAATGTTATCTTGTATTGTTTGCTGATGAATCTCATTTCTGACACCACATTCTAAAAATCCTTTGTAGAATTAGAGGTGCTAGCATGCCTATTGAGTCAAAGAACTACTTCACCCATACATGTTAATGTTGCTCCTAATGAATGAAAGCTTGTAGGGACAGGTATGCATTACGAAGCATAGTACAAATGTTAATTCTTCCCCATATGACCTCCAAACAGAATATAACAGGGCCAGAATCCTAGCACTAAATGCTATTTTAGAGATTAGCTTGCTAACTGCTATTGTTCTGCACCCTGTTAACTTGCATTCATGCTCAGCCATGTAAGTATTTTTCTCCCTTTATGAGGCCTGGGCCTGTTGGCTCTGCGTTACCGAACTAAGACATCTCCTCCTCAGCAATAGTTGCACTGTGTCATAGATCTTACGATACCGGAGGCCATACAAGTAGGGAGCACAAGCACGTGGCAGCAGCATCAGCACAGACAAGTTCACAGTATTGAGCCACACTTGAAATTCGATGCCCGTTTTGTCAAACAGTCCCAGGTGTACTGTAAAAACCAACCCAGGTGCAAAGTACATTAGCAACATTATAGCATGTGCGAGCAGAGTTAGCCGTGCTCGTGAGTAGCGGCTACTCCATATTCCCGAGCTCTTGGTGATGGTGTAGAGACGGATGTAACAGTAGAGGATCAGCACCACGCAGACAATCACCCATGAGTTCAAGTAAATGTAAAATCCCACCTTTATGTTGTTCTCCAAGGAACCCAGAGTAATGAGAACCACACACACCTTCAGACTCTGGGGGGTGCCCTTTTCGCTGACCTCCATCACCACCAACAGAACAAGTGGGTACAGTGCAGCAACTGCCCACACAAACCCAATGAGCTTTTTCACCCGGGATGGTGGCAGAATCTGGTTGTAGCGCAGTGGCCAGCGCACCGCCAGAAATGTGTCGATGACCATCAGTGTGACTGTTAACAATGAGGAGCAGTACGTTGTCATTGTGGTGACAGTGATGACCTCACAGGCTGCATAGTGCATCTCCAAGTTTGCGGCATTGGAGGACAAATTGGCCAGGTTCAACACGAGGAAGAGTGCGTCTGACAGGAGGGTGTTGGCGAGGAGAAGGTAACGTGTTTCCTGACGGAGAGATGGGTTGCAGAGGATGCAGAAAAGGAGAAAGGGGTCAATCAGTAGCGTGACAGTCGTGAAGACAGTAGCAGGGATGAGGAAGAAATTAATTCTTGTACTCTGCATCATATTATGCCACTCCATGGAGGTCAGAGCTAAAGAAGTATAATTCATCTCTGTATGCTGATAATGTTTTACTGCCAATAATAAAAGCCTGGGATCTTCTTTGAAGCTCTTTTGAAGCTTATTTGATATGTTCTTCTTTCACACATGAGCTTCTAGGATGAACATAAACACTTCACTACCTACAAGAGAAATAAAGAACAACATTTACTGCAGTGGCCAAAAAAAAAAAATTTAACTGTTAAAATGTTTCATTGCTTTGGATCCACACTCCAGGAAATTGGATTTCAAATGGCAGGTTAATGTGCAGACTAGCTGCAGTAATTTTAAATTAAATTATTTGGAAGATCATCCCAGCTGGACAATTGGATAGGGTCGATTTCCCGGTCAGGGATTAAGCCTTGTCCTGAACTATGTTTTCTTTTCAATGGAAAATCTCTTTTTAGAAAATTATGTAGTCCAGGACTAGGCTTAACCCCTGTCTGAGGAACACCAAACATGTAAACCTCTACCAAGTGTCAGGAAATAGACCATCAGACTCTCTGAGTTAGAATTGGCTAGAAAAAAATATAAAGACAATGGTTTAAGGACAAATTGATGGCATATATTAACCTCTATCATGGTGAAGGCAAATGTGGGGGAAATAAAGCATACCATGTCATCAGTGAAACATAATTGTGTGGACATGGAAGACTGCCACTGTGACTGAATGACTCATCTCTTAATGATATGATTACTGAAAGTAGAAGTAACCAGTAAAAAACATCAAAGCCTGCATTTCATATGCTGAAGCCTGGTATCTGAAAGGAAGTGAAGATGGATATAATTTAGTACTGCAAGAGAAACACCAGCTTTGGCAATGTACCCTAACTGGCCACTTTATTATGTACACCCCCTTGCAGCTACATTCACTGTACGTTTTATCAGGTCCACTTACCAAATCGGTGCACTTTGTAGTTCTACGATCACAGACTGTTTCTCCGCATATCTTGTTAGCCCCCTTTCATCCTGTTCTTCAATGGTCACTTCACAGACCAGGTACTATTTGGGTGGTGGATCTCAGCAGTGCTGAGAATGATCCACCACCCAAATAATACCTGCTCCATGATGGTCCTGTGGGGCTCCTGAACATTGAAGAACAGGGTAAAAGGGGGCTAACAAAGTATGCAGAGAAACAGATGGACTACAGTCTGTAATTGTAGAAACACAAAGTGCACCTATATGGTAAGCGGAGCTGATAAAATGGTCAGATACAAGCAGGTGTAATTGATGAAGAGGCTGGTAGCCATGTATGATATGCAAAACATCTCCAGCCGCCAGTTTCTGCAAATGACATTTGCCTGTCCAAATGCAACTACTGCTCAACAATGCAGAGCTCTTTTACTGCCTTTGTAACCCTCTACAAATAAGTCTTACAGAGAAGACTTATTTATAGAGGTAAGACTGCATCCCACAATCTACATTCGACAAATGTTTATGTATCAGCAGTGGCAGATGTGTACATACAAAATATCAGACAGGATTACCACACTAGTGCATGACTACTATGTACATAATAAAATCCCCCAGTGGATGAGGTCTGCAGATAGAAGAAAGCATCCATGCAGAGAATTAATTCATTAAAAAGAGAATAAAAAATCATTTTAAAAACTTTAAAGCAAACTATTAGGTGCTGCGTTCATCCTTCAGCTCCTCGCGTGTTATCTTGAGTATATTTACTTTAATATTGGAGAACATGGAAAGGTGATGAATACGCATCTCCCAATATCCGCTACTGATTACAGTGCAGTTTGCAGCAAATACGGTTTTATACGTTTGGCTTAATTAGAGTCATTAATTAATTACAGTGATAAAGGGAAAATGCCCGTATGGATGCTTACATCACAGCAGGACAAATGTACAGGTATTAAGATACATTCTTAAAAATGACGGTTCTTCAAGAGTTCTTTAGCACAGAAAATAATTCTATATAAAACTATGAACACTCAAAGAATCATTTGCATGATTAAAAGGTTCTTCAGCTTGATGGAAAATGCACTGTAGACAGTTCTATATAGAACTTTTTGTCATGTAATCACAGAAGAACCCTTTTTGGTGCTATATAGAATACTGTTCAAAAAGGTTATGTACAGAACCATATAAAACACATTCTCCATCAATCTGAAGAACCTCTTCATGATGCAAAAGAACTCTTTAATCATGGAAAGGGTTCTTTGAGTGTTCATGGTTCTACATAGAACTATTTTCTTTACTAAAGAAACCTTAAGGAACCATAATTTTTAAGTGTGTACTGTTTAAAAACGGACAAAGCGGATTTAACTTTGAGAAATATGCTATATAGATTTAATAAACACTTCTACTATTCATAATAATTTTATTTATAACAAGCTTCTCAAACTCTGTTATTATCGCTTCCCAGCTTCCTATTGCTTTCCTACTCACTAAACAAGCAGGTTCTGCAGGAAAGGAAATGGTTATAAATATAACCGTGATATCTAAAATAACCGTCTCAACGGTTCTTCACGATCATGGAGCACCCGTTGGTGCGTTAAAGAAACTGAGATAACATTTTATGGTAACTATTTTGTTATAAACAATAATATTCTTCTTAACTCAACAGTTGCCGTGTTATCTCCATCTAATCATAAGTAAATATACAGCCTGCCTCACTGCTCGGAATGCAGTACACATGTAGATCTTCAGCACACAAAGGCCTGGATGTCTCGGCTGAAATGCTTAAACTCGGATTTTAAAGGTTCCTCACGGAGCCGAAACTCATTCAGAGACAGAGTGGAGGGAGATGCTGCTCTGAGGCTCCGGCGCTTTTCAGCACACAGAGCCGACACAGTGCTCGAGGCCGGTTAGTGTGGTGTTTGGTTCATGTATCCTCAGGTGAAAGCGTACTACGTTTTTATACCTTATTTATATGTTCAGGTTCAGATATAACTTACACACGGCTGAATACACGCTCTCCTCGCACTTTACAGCACCATTAAATCTATTCTGTGTCTCCGAGGAGAAGGAGCCCCACGTTTGTGGACAAACCGTCGACCCACTCGAAGCGACACTCACTCACTTACCTTTGACTCCTCACAGGAGGCCGGTGAGCTAATCCGCTCCTCAGTCCGTCACGCCGAGACGGCTGCGAGTGGTTTTCCCGCGATAACAGCTTTTATTGACGCGCGCAGCAGCACGCGGGCCTCAACCTCTCCAGCTCCTCCGTGACTACCGCCCGGATTACAGCCGCTCTCATTCACAAACAGCTCCGAACAGCTGAGAAGCTGCTCACACCGCGGAGCAGAGACCCCTTCACCGGCGGAGACCACTGACCCGCACACGGTGAGAGTAATTCAGCATACGGTCTCTAAACCCTCCACACTGAAGATTACAGCACCTGCTCAGCGTCCATTTGCCTATAAAGTTTCTGTGGACGTGAACGCCGCCTATTTTACGCAGGAGGTGATCCATTACCACCAGCTTGTCCTTCACCAGGTTCCTGTTTTTTTTTTTTTGGTTTATACCTGATTTACATACAACCACAAAAAGGCTGTAAAAAACATAGACAGCAGAGACTCACTGCACAGCTTTTATTTGGAAAATAATTTCCTGATGCAGGGTGTCTGAAGATGACGGTGCTGATTTTTTTTTTTTTTTTAAATTGATGCAGATATTAATAACAGTTATAATACAGTACTGCATCACTATTACACTAAATGGGTAAATTAACAGTAGCAAAAAAACGAATATAACGAATATTTGTTTCTAATATATAGAAGCGAAAATAAAACGAAATTCAAACAAACAGAAAATAGATAACTACATATGATAATCGGACATCGGACTTTGGGGGAATTAAAGTATAGTGCAACGCTTCAGATATCTGAGAAAAGTACTGCTTAAGTAATCCAATATTTTATTTCTATTTCAAAAAACAACATTTTAGGAATTGAATTAGAAAATGTTTTTCTAAATAAAATGCTTTGCGAATAAAATTCAACAACAGTATTAGAATTTATATAAAAACAAGTGTTATGTCATGCAAAACTAATTAGTGAAGTCATGCAAAATTATTTGCCTTTTTCATTTGAATCTTATTATTTACATCAAACAAAGTGTCATGACGTGCCATAACGTGACGACAGTATACCCGCATAAATGACCCGCACTGCAAAATAATACCATTCTTGACTCTACAAATAGAAAATCTGTGAAAACATTTGCGAATCACTAGGAGTGTATTTTTGTTTTGTCCATTATATTCATTTAGTTCTTGGCATTGTTTAGACAACACTTGCTAAAGTAAATAAATGAAAAAAAAAATACAGAACTGACACATTAAACCACTGATTCACACCCTGATTTCCCCAGTTATGTCCATCTGCAGAGCCACAGTACCGCAGCTTTAGCCCCCCACACTTTCAGACCCTCACTCTCAGCTCCTGTGCTTGTTTAAAAACCGCAGCCGCACTTTCAGCTCTCAGGAGTGCACCCATTGTCCATTTTATCAGCTTCATTTGCCATACAGGTGCACTTCGTAGTTCTACAATTACAGACTGTAGTCCAACTGTTTCTCTGCATACTATTGCACTATTTGGGTGGTGGATCATTCTCAGCACTGCAGTAACACTGACGTGGTTGTGGTGTGTTAGTGTGTGTTGTGCTGGTACGAGTGGATCAGACACAGCAGTGCTGCTGGAGTTTTTAAACACCTCAGTGTCACTGCTGGACTTAAGTGCTGAGAATGATCCTTCACCCAAATCGTCCTGTGGTGGTCCTTTGAAGAACAGGGTGAAAGGGGGCTGACAAAGTATGCTGGGAAGCAGATGGTTTATAGTCTGTAATTATAGAAATACACAGTGCACAAGGTAAGTGGAGCTAAAAAAAATAGGCAATAAGTGTAGAAACAAGGTGTTCCTAATAAAGTGCTTGGTGAGTGTGTATTTCAGCACTACAGGCTTCCGTTAAACATGTAAATGAGCAGTGCTGTTAAACACGTACGACTCATTTACACAATAGTGCATCGAATAGAAAGCCATTTATATTCAGTCACCAGCTGTATGACTTCTTGTACTTTATATCCGGGTCTAAGGGTGAGGTACTGCGGCTCTGCAGTGTCCGAAACTGAAGGCAGCTGTCTTGATGTCTTGCTGCCTATGCTGTCTTATATATCAGTGCCTTAGAAGTCAGCGCTGTCCACTTTGTCAGTTCTGGTGTTTTCTGATATTTTTTTCTAACTGCATCGGCACAGACTCAAAGGTTTACGGAATATGTAAGACAGTGAAGGACACCTTTATGCTGCCTTCAAAAAGGGGCCGAATAGAGGAACCTCAGCAGGCAGTGTTTTACACAAATATTCAGTTCAAACATGACTGGGTGCCTTCCTGCCTCAGAATACTATATGGGTAGGCAGCGTTTATTAATTTCCGGACACAGCCGATTTCTCTGCTCCTTCTCTTTCTGGAGAAACTTTATGCAGATCACATTGCTGATGTGTGGCACAGTAGCTGATTGCATCACTCCACACACAAGTCACACATTTGAATGCGCACAAGTGGGAGATATAACGGTTGATAAATAATGTATTTAAAGTGTGAGAAATCAATTTTTTTAAGCTAAGAAACAATATTAGGCAGCTTTGGGGCTCATAACTGACCTACAGCTCTGCACACACTTTCCCTTTCACCTCAACCTGCGTGTGTTTAGCGACGTGCACCCAAAGTGGCCTGCAGGCGGCAAGGGAAGCGATTCGGCTCACTCTAAAGCTAACTGAAAATACACTGTTGACGTGAACAGTGCAGCTACTGCAGTTTGGAATCTTAATTCAAACGTGGCAGATAAAATGTATGAAATAATTCTATGATAATGCAACTTCTCTACAACTAATTAGCATGAAGCTGTAAAAAGCATTTCATCTGGTTCCTATTAACACCACTGTGAAGACATCTGACTTGGCAACTTTTCTCTGGAGCTCAACACATCAAACTATTCTGATTCTATTCTGACACCAAATTTAATTTTCTATATGTTTTGAAAAACCATTTAATTTATGCCAAACAAACGCCTTATATTTGATACATGATCATTTTAGACAGATAATGAAGAGATTACTACAAATAAAAAAAGTACAGTGTTATTTATCATTTAACACATTTTTGGTGTTCACAGACAACTTGAACTAGTGCATAAAACATCTTGAAATACAACAGCAATTATTAAGTGATTCCAACCTTTTAAACACTAATAAAATGAGAAAATTAACAGTTTGGTGCCGATATTTTCTTATGACTCTCTTCTTTGTTTTGTCTTCTTATTGTAACCAGTGTTCTGACCTTTGTCCCAATCTTCCTCCTCCTCCTCCATCTCCTCCTCCACCCCATCAACATCATCATTGCCGTGCTCCTGCTTTCTCTCTTCCTCCTGCTCTCTCGCCATGAGTTTCCGGAACACGTCAAACTCCTCCTGAGTCGCCATGGCGATCCTGCTGAGGTATGTTTCGTCAGAGACAAGCAGAAAGTCTTTGAGTCGAGGGTTAAGGATCAGCGTCTGGCCCTTCTTGTCAGGCGTTTGGTAGAGTCCTCTGCGCTCCAGGAAACTATGGCGACACTGCAGCTCCTCCATAGAAAGCCGGAAAAGCTTAGCCTTCACCATCTCGGCCTGCCGGCAGCCCATGCGGAAATATGCATACTGCAATGAGATAAGAGATAGCAGAGGATAGCAATAATCATAATGAAATACAAAACATAAGTCAACAATCCTGCAGCTCAGAGCTGTATTTGTGTGTTTTTCCATTTTCCCCAGAGACACTTTTGCATAGAAATAAACATATGAAAACGTTTTCTTAGCTAGTACTAGGCTGGTCCGCTAAGTTAGCTAACAGGCTAAAAGATCACAAATATGCTAAACAACTCCATCATTAATATCACAGACTTGAGTTAAAGTACATACTATATGATTCACTGTAAAACTGCAGCATAAAAGACTAAAGAATGTCACTTGAGTGGGTTACATGCTTTAAATGTCTGTGTTTTAGTCATACCTGCCTCAAATAGCATCAAATCCAGGCTGAATCTCAGACAGCTCTGTACTCCTTAGGTGTGCTATGCAAGTTTGAAAATTCTAGCTTCTTCAGCCAAAGAGTGCACTATTTGTCGAGTATGGATGTGGCTGAATCCCAAATGACCATTCTTGAGCTATTTTATGCACTGCTGGGGAGCAGAAGACAGTATTTATATTTCTACGTAGTGCACTGTGTATAGAGCAGGGAGCCATTAAAGATTTAGCCCAGGTGTGGGAAATGGGGCGCAGTTAGCTTGGTGCTAAATAAGACTGGAAATTGCATAGAGGCGCTAATGAAGATTAACATTGTCATTGCAGCGGTAATTTGGTGACCGGAAAGTACTTATGCGAAGGTTTTTTGCATTAAACAGTGCTATGCTATGATATGTTCATTATTATATGACAAAAAATGAAAAGGTTTATGAAATGACCACAATATATGGTGATGGGTCACCAAACCTTCCTCTTTCTCCTCATTCAGCAGTCCATAGCTGCTTGGCAAAAATACCATAGTTTAAAGGAACTACATTTCCTTCTGGAATACTTGTCTACATTGCTTATTTTTAATAATTTTAGGCACTCCACTTCACATCGTGCCTAAGAGCACCCTTCGCCATGATAAAATCGCAGTAAAACATGACCTCTTGTGCCTTATTGCTCAAGTAATTATTGTTTGAATAGGAGATTTTTTATTATAATTTGCATTTAATGAAAAATTATTGCTGTTCATACAGTCTTTACTTTTTGTCCATGCAGAATCTAAACACACAGGATGTAAATCAGATATAAACTGATTTAATATGTAACTAGTTACATAATTATCTAACTTTGCATTTACATTTAAGTAATTATGTAACGGAAAGTTAATGTATATCAAAATGACTTCTAAGGGTCGTGATGACCTTCGTATTGGAAACATGGACCTTCAACCTTAGCAGAAAGTTAAACAAAGTAGAAGAACTCCACATACTTGAAACATGTACTCCAGACGTGTGTGCTCTTCCTGCACAACGTGAGGGGAGTCTCGGAGGATGTCAGTCACTTGCTGAGTCGTGAACTGGCACTTTTCTCGTAGGAGCCGAGACACACCGCTCACTCTCTTCACAGGTAGAGTCAGGATCTGAGGGTAGTGGCTTATCACCCTCTGTAGACTGCCTGATGACAGAACACCAGAGTTTAGAAGCTGCTTAAGCAACAGAATAAAACGAAGACCCAAACACTGTATCAAATATCTGTTTAACACCGGCAATGACATACCCTTCTTGCGAAATGTACTAATGCATCAATGCTTCTGTTGTTAAAGGTTATCCAACAGTTAGTTCCAACAACAGAACTCTTTACAATCAGACTCTATCAGTGTTACATCTGATAGCATGTTTATTTGACTATATTTGACTGTACTCATATCATTCCCCTGACCGCGGGTCACTAGTCAACACCAGCAACAATAACCATTTTTGTTGGAAGAACTTGCAAGTATTAAAAACATATATTTGAAACAAAGTTCAGAGCTTTTTGTTGTCTGCTGTCCAGTTAGATGTATACCACTTTGTTTTTAAGGCAGCGGACATATAGATAGCAATGGCCGGACGTTTGGGATTAGCCTGACATGGACACCTGACTGATAAGGACAAATTGTGGACCAGCTGTTACTGAAGCTTGAATGACTAATATTTTCCACATTCCAGCAGTGTCTGACAGTCACAAGGCACAAGTGTATGTGACGCACATATGAGACTTTATTTTTTTAATTTTCTGTTCCACCTTAAATGGTACAGTAGTTACATTCAGGTGCCTGTACAGGTTGCTGCTTCATTTAAGCTGGAATGGAAAATTCAAACAAAAAGCTGACTAATAATCCAACATTAACCTTAAAGAATTAAGACATGAAACAACACTGAGCACCATTTTGCCCAGCCTGTGGGACCAGAAAGCAAAACTGACCAAGGTTTATCTATATATTGCTCTGTTCTATTTTTACTGTTTTACACAATATTTGTAGAATTCCTTTGGCTGTTAAAATTGTTCTTATTCTTAGGTTTACTTAAGCGTCTAAATGTTTTTATTTGAATATATGCGCACACACACCCGCAGTGATATATATACACACGTTGTCAGGAATTTTAATTATACCGTGATATAAATGTTTGGCCATACTGCCCACTACAATTTTGTTGTGCATTTTTTTTACTTTGCAAAATTGTATAAAGAAGCAGAAACATTTAAGGTTGTGCGCTTGTGCCTGGGACCAAATTACAGCCATGATGTTAACATACTCACGTTCTATTACTTAAATTGTTAATTATGAGAAACAGCTTAGAATAAAGCAAACATTGTTGTTCCGTGGGCACTGGTGTTCAGTGTAATGATACAGGTATAGTTTAAAAAAAAAAACAACAACAAAAAAAATACAACCCTGCTAGAAAGCTTTCCAAATCAGAGTGTGTTACCTGGGATTCACCCTGTTGCCATCATTTTACTTTCATATCAATCGCAATATACAAATGTACATGATGTGTTCAGAAAGGAAATTAAGAGCCATGAGAGTGTTTTATATTGAAATTTCTTGGCATTTGGTAGTCTCGCATGGCCAGACATGATGTTGTAACATCTAGGGGCAACAAAGAGAGATTTTGGGCCAAATGTAAATGGGAACGTAGATTTATTAAGGTGGGAGCAAGCTTGAGTTTAAAACTTCTGAACCAGTCCAATGCTTTGTAAAAGTTGGAGCTCAAAGTAGGGGATGATGGTGTGCTCATCAATATTGTCTGACAAATGTTAGCGCAGGGATGTAACTAAAGCTAGCATAGCTGAAAAGTCCCTCTAAAAACTCCAAATAAGCATATAGATGTATGTCGCGTGAGCGGACAATACATTATAAAAATAAACGTTGCCTCCTGTGAGAGAAAACCAGCTAGCTAACGATAGTGTTTCACGGGCTAGATTGTTTTGCTTGTGTTATCCATTGTACTCCAGACATCAAGAGTGCTAGAAGACTCTGGGGGTTGGTTTTATAGGGGGCACACCTTTGTTAGAGGATGATTTTGCCACAATCCAGAACCAAAAGCTCAACAAGTTGTCCCCAGATGTGTATTAACATTACAAGTCGGCGTCTGGCTTGCAAGACTAAGCATGAACACTCCCATCAAGATGATGAAGAGCTGCAAAATGAAGAGCTTTTTAAGGATTTTACAAAATGTAACAGATATACTCAGTGTCATTTAAGAGGTCATTTAAAGTTTTAGCATAAATCTGTCTAGCATTATTACACAAGCAATAGTTTTTCCTCAACACATTTTTTCTACATTTTTTGGAATTTTTAAAAAATGTTTCTTTTGTTAGTTTTCCCCCCCCATTGATTTAGTGGGGCAGAGAGCTGCTTCTGTTTTCTTGTTTTCGTGTTTACTTTTCTTGTAATGCTCTTGTGGAGGGCACCCAATCCTGGTTCTGGAGATCTATCGTCCTGCAGTTTTGCTCCATCTTTACTCTACCACACCTAATCCAGGTAATCTGAAAGCATCTGAACATCAGTGCCAGGTGTACTGGATGTGAACTCACCAGGATGGTAGATCTCTAGGAACAGGATTGGGCACCACTGGCTCTTGCGCAGTGACAAGCATTAAAACAGTTCAACAGCATTATGTCCTGAGGTTACTGTATGAATTATGCATTAGTATTGAAATGTATTCACATCTTTAGCATAAGATTAGAATAATGCAAACCCAATATTTTGCATAAAAGAATCAGTTTGAAAGATTGAAAGCTCAGCATTCTGGCTGAGCTAGCTTCAGCTACTTGCGTCTCTACACATGAGATGGAGGAGGGTGAAGTTCACGTGCCCAGCCGCAGTGGAAAGCAATAATGTACAGTCAACTTTCAAATGAGCATGGAGTATGAATACAGTTCTATGGTATAAAGTTACATCCTTTCCGCCACTATAACATTTATTACCATAAGACAGAACAGTAGCAGAAATGCTGAACAGTGCTGAATGGACTAATAGGACAGTATCTGACCATGAAAAAGCCAAGCGTAAACACAAACAAGATGCACAGGAGTGGGACTGCTGTCTATTCATTCAGACCGCTTCAAGAGGTGATCTGAGACACACTGATGATCAAGTGTAAACATTTGTATGTAATCTTTACTCCTACAGCTTCTACGTCATTAGTGAAAATCACATTTGAAAAAATGTGCATACAACAGCTCATGTCACCTTTTTAACAACATAAGCGTCATAAAAACTGCAGTTGATTTTCCCTTTACTTCTTATAAAATGCCTAACAGCATGGAACAAAGTTTCTGGCACAGCATTTTTTACAGATGATTCTGGAAAAGAATTTTTTGGATTTGCATGTAAGGGAAAAAAGCAGCACTCATGCAAAATAAGACTTCAGTCTGTCTAACACAGATGTTTTTGTGTTCAGATATAAATAAAATGTGGTTAAACCTTATCTGGATGCATGACACACAGACTTTGTAAAAGCATTCAGCATGTTCTTACCCCCTGGGTATTTTTGTGCTCTATGACACTATAGAAGCACCAGTCTCAAAATAAAATAAACACAAATCATTTCAAACTCTTAAAACTAGAAAAAATTTGGAATTTTAAGGTCACCTCACCTTCAAGTAGGCCAAGTTTCCTCAGATTTGCAATCCGCTGCTGTAACTGAGACTCTTTAACAGCATATAGCTCTGGACACTTCTCCAAGATCTTCACCACGCTGGTGGGGTTTAAGCCAAGGGCGAAGAGACCTACCAGTATAGGTGCATCATGTTTGCATCTGTTTTTCTTTGCACCATCATACACCATCTCAGCCTGGGTCTCTGAGAAGCCCATTTCGGCCAATGATCGCATCGTTAACTCTTTTCCGGGATGCTTTATGAACGGAGGAGGCAACGGAGTGGAACACAGCGCTCGACAAAGGCCCGCTAATGCTGCTGTGTCTGACTCTTTGGCAGGAACTGTGGATGGTCTGCAGAGAGGGCCATTCCTCCAAGTCCATCGTAGAATCTGCCACGAAAGATAATGGGGGAAAAAATAAATAAATAAAACACTTACCAAAAAAAATGCAAAAATGCTTTATTAAGCCCTGTTCATACTGCAGCCAATTCAGTTTTTCAAATCCAGTCTTTAGGACTCACTGTCCGCAGTGTTATTTTGCAAGTGATCAAATCAGTTTATTATCTTGGTTACCTACATTGCTTTCCATTATTAAAATATTGCAAGACCTGGACAAGTGTATGACCTCAATAAATGGGAATGGTCAATTCACTGAACTGATTCTCTCTCACTTTCCTCTTGCCAAGAAATCAAACATTCAATTCAACCTATTCATTTTTGGTCCCTGTCAGGGAGGGGAACCCCATGATTAGTCAAATTACTGCTTTCATAGTAAGCTTCAGGTCATTGCCCATCTGCGTTGTGAAGTTCCATCCAAGGGGTTTTGAAGCATTTGGCTGATTCTGAGCAGATAATATAGTCCTGTACACGTCAGAATTCATGGTTCTGCTTTTGTCAGTCACATCATAAGTAAATACAAGGGAAGCAGATCTATTGGCAGCCAAACATGTCCTCGCCATAACACTACCTTCACTATGTTTGACAGATGAGGTATCCTTTGGAACATGAGCAGTTCCTTCCTTCTCCACATTCTTCTCTTCCCATTATTCTAGTACAAGTTGATCTTTGTTTCATCTTTCCATACGTTGTTATTTCAAAGCTGTGCAGGCTTTTTTAGATGTTTTTGGCAAGATCTGGTCTTCGTGTTTTTGAGGCTTAACAATGGTTTACATCTTGTGGTAAAACCTCTGTATTTACTCTGGTCAAGTTTTCTCTTGATTGTTGACTTTGATACAGATTCACCTACCTCCTGAAGGGTATTCTTGATCTGGCCAACTGTTGTGAAGGAGTTTTTCTTCACGAGGGAAAGAATTCCTCATCCACCACAATTGTTTTCTGTGGTCTTCTGGGCCTTTTGGTGTTTCTGAACTCACCAGCGCATTCTTTCTTTAAATAGTATAAAATAGTTGATTTGGCTGCACCTAATGTTTTTGCTATCTCTCTGAGGGGCTTGTCCTGATTTTTCAGCCTAATGACTGCTTGCATCATTGGCAGTGAAGCTCTTCGGACTTCATCTTGAGAGTTGATAGAAATACTACACTTGAAATCATCTCTAGACCTTTTAGCTGCTTACTTGTAAGTGAAATAATGAAAAGATAACACACCTGGCTATGAAACAGCTTGAGCAGCCAATTGTCTAATTACTTTTGAGCCCCTAAAAATGGGGGTTAAGTGGTTGCTTGGATGTAGATAGCCTGAAATTAAAGCTGAAAGTCTGCACTTTGAGCTCATATTATTTAGAGTATGTAATATTATTGTAACAGACAGCTAAAATAACAATAACTTTGTTTATTTATGGACCCAACTGCATACAGCAAATAACACAAAAGTAACATACAAAACAAATAAACAAACAAACAAACAAACAAAAGAACTGTTTATGCCATATCATTTAAAGGTCCCATATCATGGAGAAATAGAATTTTCCTCATTAAAAAAAAAAGTTTGATGTAGTATGTACGCATACTATAAGCTATTCAGGCTTTTATTTTGACAGGGTGAAACCGCTGTTTAAGGGTTAAGGGGAAGTCCAATGATTTTTCAAAACTTCTACATAATTAAATGGCTAACATGTCAACAAAATCATTCAGAGTGGTTTAAAATCTTCATTGTAGAGTTTTAAACCACTAAGTCACAGTTGTTCACAGTGGTGGTGATAGGAACCAGATGTCTGAAGTGTTTAATGCCTTCAATCGTACAGAAAGTTATTAGATGAAATGGTCAGCCCGATATCTGAGACCCTGTTTTTGGTAGTTTTTTTGTTGATGGCCTAAAATGTTTTTTTTTTAATCAACTTATTTTAATCTATTCTTGGTGGATCTTTTATTTTATCAACATCAACTTTTCATAAACTCAGAAGACACATGTGGGTTCCCTGGTGGTTTTGGATATATTTACATGGCAAGTCGTGATGACTAAATGATACAGTCGCTAGTTGAATTACAGATCTCTTTAATGCAATTAGATATCAACATATATCGTTTTACTAGTAACAATAAATATTACAGATCTCCATTATGAAAACGTCACTCGTTGATAGATAAATATGACTAATCAAGTTGGTGTTCTGACTATTTAGAAATTCAATTTTAGAAAAAAAAAAAACTGATTTCTTACTAGTCAGAATTCGTATTCAACATATGGTAATTTGTAGAAGACAACACTCCTCTTTTCTCTGTCACATGCTTAGTGCAGATCCCTTAGGCTTCATTCCAGTATAAAAGTCATGGTATATGGCAGGTTACTACTATGAGGTTTGCTGAATGAAATTATAACAATGGCCGCTCACTGTGTAGCTTTACAGCCCTGTTATCCCACCTGCAGTCAGTCTATGTTTGCACTCAGAAACTCTGATGTTTGCACAACGCACACGTCCAGTGTATGAGGCAAATCTCTCAGCAGCATTTACCTGCATTTGGCAGGAGGCGAGAGACTTTCATGTTGATCTATTAATTGACACAATTATGTATTTTTCATGGCTTGCATAACTGTACACCTGCTAATGTATTTATTTGGTTACATTCTGATCAATCTTTTAAGTTTTTAATTCGGTAGATTTCAATCGGAACTACGTCAGAAAAAAGGACTTTGAATAGGCCTAGTTTTCACTTAAACTGGAGGGAGAAAAGCAACCTATACGCAATAATTGGGTTCAAAATTAACCAGCTGTTTATTTGTTAAAGACAGATGGATATGTCTACTTGATATTAGGACTAGTAAAATTCCACAGTCGATATCTGGAATCATAGTTTTTACTAATAGAAACTGCATTGCAGATCTCTCGAATTTGAGTTTTTACTTGTAAAAACAGAGATACAACTTGTATTGCTGGTGTCATTTTAGGCTAAAACGGCTTGACATATATTTGCATGGTGGACATCGGTACCCCTGGTTCCTATCACCACGACTGTAATATGAGTCGGTAGGTTTCTCTATAAATGATATTTCACATCGAATCACTCGGAATGACTTTGTTTCTCAGTCAGTGAATTACGCAAAGAATTTGAAAAATCGCCCTTCAAAAGGTTCTTTACAGTCTGGCTAGTTAGTCACATAGATAACAGGACAACAATCTTCTCCAACAGGATACAGAGCCTGTAATAAGCTGAACTCAGCCTTATATGAACCCAGCGGTAAAGTCGGGGGTCCTGTTTCTCTCCTCATACAGAGTCACAGCTCTGCGAAACCGCGCTCGCTCTCTAACCTGAGATAAACTAAAACTAATATCTTACTCTCTGTTCAGCTGTGCATGACCATATGCGACTGACCCCGCAGTGAGGAGAGCCCAACACAGAGTACAGACACTGATAAAACACGTCTAAACTCACCCGTAACGTTACCCCACAGGCCTGAGCAGTCATGTTCGTCCGACGTCAAAATGTTCCCCGGAATACATCAACGTTATCATAATGGTTCCTATCACAAGCACGGTGTTGCCCTTGAAGAATTTCACTGATTTCTCGAAATTACTGTATAATTAAATGGTCAATATGTAAACAAAGTGATTCAGATTATTAAGCATTGATGTAAAATGCTCCGTTTCAGAGAAACTCACAATTGGGTCACGATGTTATAGGAACCAGACTGTCCTGATTCCTGAGATATTGTTCAATGTTAGTTCTGAGACAGGATTTTGGCCTAACATATATTTTTAAAATCCCTTCATAGCGGTACTTACACGGTGTTGTAAGGCAAAACAGCCCCCACTAAACTAAAGAGACCACCTGTTGTAGTTTTGAAAGTGAAATGTTTTCCCGTTCCTGCTTCATATAGGATTTCAGTTGCTAAACAGTTCAGGGTCTGCTTTGTTGTATTTTTAGTTTCATAATGCACCATTTTTTTAAATAGGTGGCAAGTCAAAAAAAACAGTGTCTGGAAGACAGCTTATGTCACTCCAAAACCTGTATATATCACGGATGCTGGCTTTTTAACTGTGCTCTGATAACAAGCCAGATGGTCCCTCTCTTCTTTAGCCCGAAGGACACAGTGTCCATGATTTCCAAAAAGAATGTAAAATTTTGATTTGTCAGACCACAGGGCACTTTTCCACTTCACCTCAGTCCATCTTAAATGAGCGCGGGCCCAGAGAAGGTGGCAGCATTTCTGGATCTTGTTCATATATGGTTTGTTCTTTGCATGATAGAGTTTTAACTTGCATTTGTGGATGCAGCAACAAACTGTGCTCACAGACAGTGGTTTTTGGAAGTGTTTCTGAGCCCATGCAGTGATTTCCACTACAGAATCATGTCTGTTTTTAATGCAGTGCTGCCTGAGGGCCTGAAGATCATGACCAGCCAATATTGGTTATCAGCCTTGTCCTTTGCCTACAGAGATTTCTCCGGATTCTCTGAATCCTTTAATGATATTATGTACCGTAGATGATGAAAACCCATATGTTCTTTGCTATTTTACATTCAGAAATGTTATTCTTGTATTGTTGCACTGTTTGCCCGTACAGTCTTACAGAGTGGTGAACCCCTCCTCATCTTTACTTCTGAAAGCCTCATCCTCAATGGGATGTTTTTTTTTTTGTACCCAATCATGTTACTGACCTGTTGCCAGTTAGCCTGGTTAGTTGCAAGATGTTCCACCAGGTGTTTTTTTAGCCTTACACAAATTTATCAGCCTTTCGTTGCTCCTGTCCCAACTTTTTTGAAAGGTGTTGCTGGCATAAAATTCAAGATAGGCATGTATTTTTCAAAAAACAATAAAATTTCTGTTTTGACATTTGACATGTCTTTGTACCACAATTAAATATTAAGCATTAAAATGAATTGCACATCATTGCATTGCATACAGCATCCCAACTTTATGCTTTACATACAAAAATGTACACAGAAGTGTAGGTTCACTGGTCATTTTTGCTAGTACATAAAATGGTTATATTTGTGTTTAGACTTGTTCAGAAATTACATTAAGATTTGGAAGCATAAAAGCAAAGAGACATGCTCTGTTAGATTTCTTTTATTAAAAGTTCTGCCTTCTGAAATATTTCAAGATACATTTCTGGCTTTACAAAGCCCATGTTTTATTTTGGAAAGTAAAAAGTAACAAAATTAAAAAAACTAAAGAAAATCAATGCTAACATTTTATTCATGTAATACATTGCAATCAAAATATTTAAAATGTGAATAATTTAGAGTTTAAAAATCAGCTTAAAATTAGTTGCTCACACAACTTTCTTTTAAATTACTTTTGTCCAAGGTTCTTCATATAGAGGTAAGAGCAAAACATACAAACAGTAGATTAACATTGTCATCTGAAAATAGCAAAGCTTTATTAGTTGCTTTTATAATCTTACTTATGTATTAATAGACAATTGCTTCTATGGCTCCTTCAAAAACTAGTAACATCTTTCAATATGAAAATACAACATTCTGATAAGCAAGAGTGCAAGGTTACATTTAAGGCCTCTTTAATTTGTAATTTAGAGACGTTTCATTCACACCACATGATACAAGATACAATCCTTTGACATTCACCACAGACTGGATTTATAGTGTTTAAAGAAACACAGTTTTGTTTAAGCAAGACTTCATTTGAAAAGTAAACAGGTCAACCAACAGAACTTCATGGAAGAAAAATGAAGATATAATTAGTGCAACGTGCAAATTTTCCACCTTTTTTTCTTCTGTTGCCACTTTAGCCTAGTGAGGTTACCTCAGCCCAAAAGTATTTCCCAGCTTCCTCAGTCTTCACTCATCATTGAGATACTTCAGAAGTTCAGATTTCAGTGCTGCCATAGTTCTCCTCTGTTCTTCATCTTCTTCTTCTTCCTCCTCTTCTTCATCATCTTCATACTGCAGAGATGTGTGGTCAGCAGCCTGAGACTCACCGTCCCCCTGCTGCACACCTGGAATGCACTCATCATGATCAGCAGAATCTGTATTCACAAACCGAAACAGAGATAAAGCAGAGTTAATATTACAGCATGCATCTCAAACAAATTAAACAGAATTCTTTTTCTGAAACCAATTACCAGCATGACAGTGCAGCCAACTGCTGGAGAATGTTTGGTTAATACTTTGCTGTTTAAGCTGTGTGTATCTTTTAGGGGTGTCACAAGGCACTGTGATACTGTTACACTGAAATGCACAACTGTGACAGCGTGCATTGTGGAGAATGGACATTCTGTTAATTACAGCATCTAATGCAAAACTAACACTTTAAAATGATCAGCTACTTCAAATTTATTCCACAGTGCTTTTTATAATGTTTGTATGTTTTCACAAAAGCAGCTTTACAGAAATCTGGACTCAAGCCCCGACTGAGTGAGCCAAGGGTGACAGTGGCAAGGAAAAGAAAGAGTAAAAGAAGGAGGCCTAGAGAAAACATCTAAAAAAAACACATCCTCCTCTGATCGACACCGGATAGCAATAATACAAAGGAAATATAAATAAAGAATGAAGAACTGACAATGAATATACTATAATGATATGTAATAAAGGAAAAACAGAAAGAAATCAAATCACATTTATTGTCGCATCACATTACACAGGTGTGAAGGTGAGAAAAAATCTTAGGTGTGTAGCCCCCTTGTAGTACTTAAATAAAAAAAATTATATATATATATATATATATATATATATATATATATATATATATATATATATATAGTAATCTATATACACATTAGACTCTGAATATCTACACATATACACATTTACACTAGATTTCCAATGTACAGTTTGTACGGTTATAAGTTATGAAATTAAATGTAAGTATTTAGATTAACCACTGAAAGCTGAGGACTACTGTTGAAAGCCTATTTGACAATGAGAAATAGATCTATGAAAATCAGTGACTACTGTTAGGAGCTCAGAGTGAGAATGAGAAATAAATCTATGAACACCTATGACTACTGTTAGAAGTATCGTGAAGACATGTTACCATGAATATGTAGAGAATCCAGTATAGTGTGAGGCAGGTGAATAATATCTAGGACTAAACAGTTCTAGTTCAAGTCCGTGCAGGCTCCAATCAGGAGGGTGAGTGGGATACAGGAAAGGCTTTCTGGTACAGCAGAAGGATAAATGGGACATGCTGTTGGCTACAATGTGGTCGAACTGGACTCCAGAGGACTTCAGCACCTGCCTCCCAGCTCTAGTGTCATTGTGCAATAGCATGATTACATTAATAATTTTTCATATGAATTATCGTGAGAATATCAAATCGTGCACCCAGTATCATGAATCGAATTGTGATTTGAGGCACTTTTACAGCTATAGTATCCTTTGTGCTCACCGTGGCTGCCAGGGAACACTTCTCTCCAGCTGTACTCTGCCAGGTTAATGGGCTGCCGGATCCACGGCTCTTGGAGCAGCTCCTCTAGAGTGATCCTTTGAGTCGGTACAGGATGGAGCAAGCCAGCCAGCAGACCATACAACTCTGACAACAGACACATATAGACCCATCATATCAGAACTAACAACAATCACCAATTTACACATTTCAGCCCATTGCTGCTTGAAGAATGGGGGCGAGTTGGCACTTAATGAGTTCAGGCTGCTTATTTCCAAGGGGGAAAAAAAATAAAATCTCACCCTCACCACACAGACCACTGACAGATAATCGAACTCAGAGTTAGAACCAATTAAAATCTTCATTTCAATTTTGTGGTGGGACCCAAAAAAGAAACCTGTGCAACCACTGTGAAATGTATTCAATGGCAGTTGCAACATTTCTTTCTTGCTAACCTAGGGTTTAATATTTTTCACAGATGCTAGCTAGCAAAATTAACCCTGCAAAGTGCACAGGTTCCAAACAAACATTGGCACCGTTCATGGAAGGTTTGCAGTAACGTTATATTATATTATTGACCTACTTTCTACACCAACCAGCCACTTCATTAAAACCACTTGCTTGTTTCAACCCTCACTGTCCATTTTATCAGCTCCATTTACCATACAGGTGCACTTTGTAGTTCTACAATTAGAGACTGTAATCCATCTGTTTCTTCAAGACATCAGACGTCAGTACTCCTGGAGTTTTTCAACATCCATTCACTGTCCACTCTATTAGACACTCCTACCTTGTTGTTCCACCTTGTAGATTTAAAGTCAGAGATGATAGCAAATAGGTTGCTGCAGTTTGTGCTGGTCATCCTCTAGTCCTTCATCAGTGGTCACAGAATGCTGCCCAGAGGACACTGTTGGCTGGATATTTTTGGTTGATGGACTACTCTCAGTCCATCACTAACAAAGAGGTGTTTAAAACTCCAGCAGCACTGCAGTGTTGGATCAACTCGTACCAGCACAACACACACTACCATGCCACCACCATGTTAGTGTCACTGCAGTGCCGAGAATGATCCACCAATCAAAAATAATACCTGCTCTGTGGTGGTCCTGTGGGGGTCCTGACTATTGAAGAACAATGTAAAAGGGAT